CCCTTGCCAGCAGAAGGGCATCTGAGGAGGATTAAAGGATTACCATTAAGCCCCCTTTTCTGGAAGCAGAGTACTTTGGAGGTGTATTTGCAGATCATCCCACCCCCAGGTGTGGATTCATGGGAAATGCAGGGCACAAAGGAAATAGCTTCCGTCTCTCCCCCACCTCCATTCCCCCAATTCCCTGATGGGACTCTTGACCCACAGCGATTTCCCACAGCAACTCAACCTTCCTTGAAAAGATGTTTCATTCAGTGACTCTTCCCACCATTTACACAAAGACATTTACTTGTTTTTGAGGTGGGGGGCAGAGGGACATATATTAAGGCCCACCCCCATTTCTAAGTTCCTGCCTTGTGGGTCTGGGGGAGGCTCAAACAGGCCTTGTGTGGTTGCATGGAGCTGACCCACCCAAAGGCCTGTTCTCTGTCTGTCTTTGGGAATCACTCCACTTTAGGATGGCTCTGTGACTGCTCAGGATGGGAGACATAGCTCAACCTTAAATTTCAGGTTTATGGAGAAACCATGATAGGTGACCTGGGGCAAAAAGGGGGTGGGCACCACTTTTTAAAACCAAACAGCTCTTTACCTTCCAGAAATGTGTCCCACCCTCAACATTTCAGGGTTTGGCTCCTGTTAACCTCTCTGGCCCCTCAGCCAGCTCCTCTCTGACCTTGGTGACCTAGAGATCAAAGATGTTGACCTCTGACTCTCCTCCCCAGTCCCACCCAGTCTCAGTCCCAGTCTTGTCATGCCCGGCCAGAAAAGCAGGTGCCACTCATGCCAGCTGAGTGGGAGAGTAGGGAGAGCCCACAGCTCAGTTGGGGCCAGAAGGATCTCCTACTTGGAGCAGCTGACTTCTTCAGCAGAAAAAGGAGATACATAAAATGACAATTGTGGTGATGTGCGATGCAAGCCACGTGGGCGGTGGGCCATCTCCTTTCGGAGCGGGGCTGCAGGGCTGCGGCAGGAGGGCGAAGGCTTGCTACCCCCGCCCGACAGCGCCCCGGGCCCGGCAGACGGAAGGAATTGGTCCCAGCCACTGTCCCTGGCGCTCAGGAGCGGGAGAGGGAACCCGGGGCTTTCCCCGTCGGGCGGGCGGGGCGGGCGTTGCAGCCAGGCACCCGACCAGCTCCTCCTCGGGGTCAAGGCCGGGGCGTGAGCCAGGAGGCGGCAGGCGGGGAAGTCGGTCAGGGGCCGGTTTCATCGATGCCCCGAGGGAGGTCGGGCAGCCGCCGATCCCTTCGAGCAACGCTCAGACCCTCCCCGCTCGCCGAAGGCAGGAGAAGCAGGAAGGGGAGCCCGCAGTTCGGGATAGTTCCTTTGAAAACTGCCCTTGGACGGAGCAACCGCCTCGGAGGCCGCCCCGCCTCACGCGGCCTCTGCAAGCCCCAAGAGCTGCTTGGCGGATCGGGGGCCCTTCGGGGACTCCCGAGAATCCGCAGCGGGGCCGGAGCGAGGGCTTGTCCGGGCGGCCTTCCCGTTTGCAGAAGCTTCGCCCGAGTCCCTCCGCCCCCTTTCCAGCGCCCTTTCCCGCAGCCACGAAGGGCACGAGAAGGAAGGGCCGGGGACACCGCGCAGCCCGCGGCGGAGGCGGAGGCGGGGCAGGGAGAGCCAGGCGCCCTTTCGTCAGGTGGGCCCGGTCGCCCCCCGCCCCCGCCCAGGCCCCAGCGCCCAGCGAGTCCGGGACGCGTCTCTGCTGCCCCGGCCCTTTCCCAGCTGGCCCTTGGGCTTCAAGGGCCGCCCTGCTCCGGGCCTGCTCCCTGCCTCAGCCAAACTTCGGACTCGGTGCAAACGGAGAAGGATCCGGGCGAAAGGCTTCGGGAAAGGCCGTTCTCTCTTCCGAGAGAGGAACCGCGAACGAAGCGGCGGGCTGGCAGCCGGCCAAAGCAGGGCGAGGCGGGCCCCCCCCAACCCAGCCCTCGCTCTCCGGACGGCCGCCGACGCATCTCCGAGGACCATCTGGGCACCCCGATTTCAGTCAAGGAAAAGAGCAGAAACAGACTTTGGTTAAGTAACCAGGCTTTTAGAAAGTAATATATCATTTTCTAAACATATCAGTGCATACTTCTTATATGAAAATATACACTATTGTATTTCATTCTCAAAGAAAAAAAGGAAACATTTAAAAACCAAAAGCCAAACACAATATATTAGCCGTTTTTGTAGTTTAAATTTTTTAACGCTACACTTTGTTCAGGTTACACTTTTTTGTCTTTTTTTGTCTTTTTTGTAAATGTTTTCTCTCATGCATTGTACACTTTTTGTAGCCTTTGAGAATAAATAAGCTCCATTTTCCCCACATCTCTAAAAACTGCAGCATTTTCAACTAAAGTCATTTTAAATCGTGCAATTTTGTTTCGTTGCAACACCCCTTTTTAAAAATGGAAAATATATAATATATATTTATATTTATATATAGATAACTTTTTAAAACTAAAACCCTATACAAATGCCATTTTTTCCAAATTAAAAAAATTATACACAATGTAACTGTCAACAGTACAGATGAACACGAGAAATAAAATTAAAAGCTCTCAAGAAATATATTTATAGAAATACAAACAAGGGGGTTGATTTTGTAGATTGTCATTCTTTTGCTTGTCTTTCAAAAAATGAGGAGGTGGAGGAGAGAAAAAGAGAGAGGGAGAGGGAGAAGGAGAGACTGCAAGACCCCTCAATGAAAGAATGGACCGAGGGGACCTAAGATGGACAGAAGTGAAGGAACAATTCTGGGCTTCTTCAAATGCCCCTAACCACCAACCCAGAGGCTGGACCAGGCGGCCCCTTCTTTGGATGTACTGCCTCCCCCCCCCCCCCCCCCCCCCCCGCCCCAGTCCTGGCTCCTGTTGGTGGCCCAAGGCTCCAGGCAGTTAGCCAAGAGGCCAAACCTGTTTTCTGCACCCGAGGAGGCTCTCCCCCCCCCCCCAGAAGCCCTGCCTAAAGGCCATGTGCCCCAGGGAAGCGGATCACTCTGTGTGTGACAGACAGAATGGAGCTCATCACACCCATTGTCCACTAAAGCCACGGGAGGTCTTCTCCCACCCCACCCACTTTGGACATCGGAGCTCCTGTTGGTGCCCAGGGCTCCCAGGCCAAGCCTGGCCCTCAACAGAGGGAAGAGCTCTGCCCTCCGGCTGGGGAGCTTCAGGCAAAAGGGAATTAATTCAATGCCTGGAGTGGAAATGGGGGTGGGGGGGGAAGGGTTAATGGGAGAAACAACGCCAAGGTCATTGCAGCTCCACAGGGCTTTGCTCCCATCCTGCAGCCAACCCCAGCAGAATCCCAAGAAGCCTCCGGGGCTCAAATACTCTGGCCACAAATGAAGGCAAATCAAGACGAACCAAAAGCAATGATGTACAAACCAAGATCTACAAACCAAGATTGGATGCTTCCCTTGTCCTTTGGGGGTGGCGATTCCCCCTCAGGAGCTTCCCAACAGCCCTTCCACGACGAATGCAAGATTCCTGAGCGAACAAACGGAACTCCCCTTTCCTCCTTAAATCCCCGCAGGGGGACACAGGGTTTTGCAAACATAAGGGGGGGGCAGAAGTTAATTCCCGTCCCACAGCTTTGCTACCTCCTCCCACTTAATTGGGCCAGGCCTTTTGCCCCAGCGAGCGAAAGTGGGGAAGAGTTGGCAGCACAATCCCAGCCAGGTCTACTCAGAAGTAGCCCAGGAGCCAGCGGGGGAAGTGAGCAGGGAGAGGCTCAGCCATGGGCCCCGGGAGCAGGGAAGGTCCCAGAACCCCTTCACATATTGTATGGTTTCCACTTAAGCCTGGACTTTTAAGCCGAGAAAATCAGATTATGAGCCGAGAATCTTTGTCCCCCTCAGTGTAAGGCAGCATATATATATTTTTTTTAGAAAAGTGTTTTTTCCTTAGAAACACTGATGCAAAAGGACTCCCTGCTTCCCCTTCCTCTGGGAGCAGCAGGTCCCTGCTCCCTGCTGGCTGAGTCCAGGCCGGCCGGCCAGGAAGGCTCAGCTGCTCTCCGCCCTCTTTGCTCTCCCCCACGGCTGCTGCTCCTTTTCATGCTGGGTTGGTGTGGACGGAGCCGATCAATTAGCTAACTCAAGTGAAACAAGTGACGCTTTCATTGGACCAAGAGGGGGCAAGGAGGAGACTGAAGAGCACAGGAAAAGCTCCGACAGCTGCAGCATCTCTAGTGGGAGCCATGCAGTGTGTGAAAAGGTGCCCCAGCGGCTGCCCTTCCCCAAGCAAATCCTGCAGCTTTCATCCCTCCAGTAAATGGGGGGGACGGGGACGACCCACCCCACAATGGCATCACCAACCGATTGCCCCTGCCAACTCTCCTCCACCAAATGGCAGCTGCCCGTCTGTCTCCAGGCTGGCCCAGCCCTGCCCCTCCCCTCCCCCAGGAGGGAGCCTCCCCTGAGCACAGCTGACAAGGGCAGGACAAGCGTGGCCCTGGGAAAGGTCTCCGTGGGTTTTGGATGGTGTGAGCGAGGGGTGTCTCCGTATTTTATCCAAGGGGAAAAAACCCTGTGCCCCAGATTATCAAAAGTTTGGAAAGAATGGACGAGAGAGCTCCCCCATCCTCAAAAGCTATTGCATTTCTCCAGCCTTCATTGACCTGGATAACCTCCCAAGGGGGCAGGAGAGCAGGCTTAACCCTTTCTCTCCTGGCTTAAAGCGGCTGCTCGGGAGGAAATCGTGCTGGGCTACGGCCCATCTCCTCTCTCAGCCCCCTGGACACCCAAAGGCCCTCTCCTCTTTCAAGCAGAATGAGAAATGGCCAAAGGGAGACCTCTACCCCATCCCCACCCTGACCCTCTTGCAGAGCCAGTGATCGCCGGAGTCCCTAGACCAAGATGGGGCTGCTGCTGAGGGAGGTCGGTTCTTGGAAGATCCTCGGGGGCCTTTTCGTACTGCATAAGGTTCTAGAACAGTTGCCTACAAAATCCTAAAGCTATTTTTCAGGCAGTTGATAATAAGCCCCTCCCCCTCCCCATGCCTCCCCTCCCCCCTCCCTTCTCCTTTTCCACTGCCCTCCCTCCGACACAACCGTGCGCGGGGGAGGGAGCCGAGAGCCCCCTGCAGGAAAGAGGGGGCCACGTGGGGGGGCAGTTACGTGGCCCAGGCATCCAAGCGCATGCGTTTGATGGAGGGGTTCTCCCCCTCGGCCTCGGCGCTGGGTCTCAGGAGCCCGAGGGAGGAGCCAAAGTCGGCCCGGGAGGGGTCCTCCCGCTCGGAGGGGCCCTCGTAGGAGCTGGCGTTGCTGCTGAGACTGTCCACGGGCGAGCGTCCGCTGGGCTCGTGGCGGGCCTGGTGGGGGAAGGAGGACAAGGAGAGCGGGGTGCCGCTGTTGCGCTCCCGGCTGGGCGAGACGGGCTCTGACTTGATGCTGATGCTGGGGCTGGTGTTGACGGTCAAGGTGGCGGCAGAGATGGAGGCGGTGGCGGCAGTATGCGGCAGGTGGCTTCCTTGTCTGGCAGAGAGAGGAGAGGGGTGTGAGGGGCAGAAACCTTGCCAAGCTGGGCCGCTCTCAGAGACGGCTTCTTTCCCATCCACCGAAAACCTGGCTTCTGGCCAAAATGTCATAAACTCGGGTCATGCAGGAAACAGCAACAGCCATAAATTCAGGCTGAGTGCCTAAAATGCAGTTATGTGGGGAGGATGAAAGGCGGTCATTGGAAGTTGAGAACGGTTAACCAGTGGCTAACCCTGCAAAACTAGAAGTGCTTGCAGGGAAATGACCCGGAAGGGAAGCCTTGGTGTCCATACAGTTTATACAATGGCTGCTTTCAGGCAAACAAGAATTTTAGAGAGCTCAGAAACCCCTTCAAAGCATTCATTTTAAAACTTCTAGGAGCACAAGAGCATATTTAAGGTTATTCTCGTAAACTGTGATTTTAATCTAAGTTTTCTTATGGCAGCCTGCATTTCAGGCCACGCTGGGTGGCAGCCCCAGGCCAAGTCGGAGGCTTTGGGAAAGTAAGCAGGGTGAAATGGGGAGCATCCTGGGGTGAAAGACCACCAGGAGAAGCCAGGCTGGGGGTCTGTCTGGAAAGTCCATCAAAATCACAATTCTGCTGCCCAGGAAACAGGACAGATGAGCGTATTGTCCAGGGCGGGGGAGGTCCAGGATCAAACCTGCTGGAGGGCTCTGGGACTGGCTGCCCCCCTCCGCTTCCTGGATCAATTTGGCCATCTTCCTGTGGCTTGATACAAAGATGGATGTGCAGGACACAAAGGGGGGGGGGGCTGCCAGGCGGAGCAAGGCAGCCCCCGGCAGCTGAGAATTTCTGCCTGAAGTGGCGGTGGAGGCTCAATGCCCAGACCCTGTGTGGGTCACTTGGCCTGTTGTGAGCCATCGTACCCTGCCATGGCTGCACATCTGCCCTTCCCTTCCTAGAGATGAACCACCTGGAAAATCCCCATCCTGGTGCCAGGAGGCAAATGACTTAAACCAATTTCAGAGAAAAGACAAACTGGGAAGTTCGGTCTGTCTGAGGTGCCTCAAGAAACATCTATTTTCATGGGCTTTTGCAATCACAGGGACTATCTAGCAACATTCTTCTTTTCTCTTTCTTCGTCTTTCCCTTCCTCTCTGCCTCCTACTTTTCTTCTACCTAATTCCTCCTTCCCTCCTTCATCCAACTCCACAGCTCAAAATGTCTACAATATTCCAAAATCCCATTCAAGGCAGTGCTGGGTTTCAAAATTTTTTGCTACCGGTTCTGTGGGCGTGGCTTGGTGGGCGTGGCAGGGGGAGGAGACTGCAAAATCCCCGTTTCCTCCCAATCAGCTGGGACTCGGGAGGCAGAGAATAGGTGGGGGCGGGGCCAGTCAGAACTTTTACTACCGGTTCTCCAAACTACTCGAAATTTCCGCTACCGGTTCTCCAGAACTGGTCAGAACCTGCTGAAACCCACCTCTGATTCAAGGCATTACCTCAGTCAAGGCCAAATTCTCCCGGGAGCCACTTACATTAAGTTGCTGAGGGAGACCGGGATCTGCTGCGGCTGTTGCAGCTGTTGTGGCTGCGGCTGCCAGGCAGAGAGACTGCCCAGAGACAGGCTGGTGGGCGAGCTGAACGCCGGGAGGGAGGAGAGCTCCGCACTGCTCAGCTGGTAGTCTGGAAGGAAGCAGAAAGGTCAGGCCAAGCATTCCCACTCCGCCACCTCATGCTCAGTTTGCACAGCTTGACTACTGCAAGATGCTCCTTTAAGGAGCTACCCTCGAAGCCTACCCAGAAATTCCAACTGGCCCAGGATGGATTGCGCTGCTTGGCAGTTTGATTCGGGTGCAAGTCAAGGTACCCGTGAAGCCTTCCTGACACAGGGCCTGCTTACTTGGGGGACCCCTGCCGCCCATAATATCTGCCCGCTGGTTCAATCTGGCCAGGTTTAGATTAGATTCGTTTAACAGAGTTGGAAGGGACCTTGTAGGTCATCTAGTCCAACCCCCCCACCCAAACAGGAGACCCTGACACCATTTCTGATAAACGGCAGTCCAATCTCTTCTCGAAAGCCTCCAGGGATGAAGCTCCCACAAAGTCCCTCCAATGAAATGGTGCCATCCGTGGGGACCCTGGAAGCAAATTTCTGTGCCACAGGCCTTGCCCTCTCCAATGAGGCTTCCCTGAGATGTGGGCAGCGCCCACCCTGCCATTGTTTCAAAGGGGCTGGAAGGGCTGGTTTTTATCCCAGGCCTTTGGTGAGGGAGGATGAAGGCCCTCTGCTTCACTCCTATCCAATCTGTTTCATTTTTAAAATGGGTGCTCCTGAATTGCCCTTGTTTTAAGTAGTGTAAGCTGCCCAGGACCCAACAGATTGGATGAATGAAATAAAGGAAGAAATAAGAGGAAGAGTCCCCATCCAAGGAATGTGTCCAGCCGTGGATGCAGCCCCTTCATCAGCAGGCACCCAACAGCTTGTCCCCAGCTCGGCTGGCTGGAGAATTCTGGGAGTTGAAGTCTAAGCAGAAGCTTAATGTTGCCAAGGTTGCGAAACACGGCTCTAGGTAGTTTTCAAAATGACAGGCCGCTAGATGGCACCCTCGGCAGCCTCTTGGCCTCCCTTGAAGCCATCATCACGACCACCCGAAGAAGCAGCAGCAGCAGCCGGAGATGCAGGAACTGGTCATGCCAGAAGGCCCCGAACTGCTCGCAACAGCCGATTCCTACCAGTCGGGCAGCTGTGCTTGGAATTCTCAGCTGCAAATTGGTCAGCCCAGGGGAGTCAGGTGAAGGTCTCCCTGTCCAGTCGTGTCAACTCCAGGCCGCAGTGCCTCTCTCCGTTTCTTAGCCGAGGAAGCCAGCCTGGTCAGAAGATGTTCTCTGTGGACATCGGCCAGCATGGAACGCTGCGACCTTCCCACCCAAGCAGAGCCTATTTATCTATTTACCTTATGGGGCAAGGAACAGGAGCTTGGCCCATTGCGTGGGGCTTGTCAGCATCTTTAACCACTGAGCCATCGCACCCTGCCCTGGATCTCATTCATTTTTTAATTGCTTTTAATTTTTTTAACTGTTGGTTTTTCCACCTATCCAAATCTACCTTAATTTGATCCACTAATTTATTGTAATCCTCCTTTATTTGAATGAATGAATGAATAAATGGATAAATAAATGATAAAAAATAAATAAAATTCTTAGAATCCATATACTGTAACTAAGGTCTCCTTAGAGCACCATGGAGGCTGGCAGTCGTTCTGAGAGACCGTCGTCCGTGGACATAAAACGACAAGCCAGCTGCTTATTAAGGACAAACTAAGTTTGGACCAATAACATTTTTTGAAATCAAGAAATAGAAAAGGCTGGAAGCTTTACTCAGAGGGGAGCCAACTCGAAAGAGGAATTGTCTCTTCTCCCCTGCCTGAGAAAGAGTGGATTAGCTTTCCTCCCAAAGCTGTGCGGGATCCATTCCTGGAGGTTGTCAAGAAAGAACTGGCAGCCTTTTGTCCAGGAGGGCATGAAGATATGTGCATTGGACTCGGGGTTGGACTAGATGACTTCCAAGGTCCCTTCCAAGCCAGCCTGGAAGATTCTACTACGTATCGCAGATGCCACTGTAGCTCATCCCCCAAGCAGAAATGAGGAGCTGTTTTGCTGGGGAGTGTGAGGAAGCGGGACTCCGGATGGAGCCAAATCAACCAAGAGAATCCCAGGGAGACACAGAGAAACCGGCCGGTTCGTTTGGCTCTCTCTCTTCAAAGCGAAAGGAAAGGAAGCCTGGAGCTTTCTCGAAAGAGAACTAGGAGAGCTACAAAAAGCGAAGAGATTGAGTCAGTGCGCCTCTTTTCTGCATGAAAACCACCACCAATTGAGGAAGAGAGCCTCTGATGAGGAGAGAAGGGAGTTTGGGCTGTTTTTCTACATAACTAATTTTTCACAATCTGTTACACACCCCGCCTGCTATGGGGTGCAGACCTGTCATCGCTTTACATGGATTTCGACACCCAAAGTTTCTCTCCACCACCTTGAAACTCCTGGGTGGCGGCACAGCCTCTTGTCTTTGGTGGAGAGGGGAAGGGTCCCAGCCAAGGGGTGAAGGACCTGAGGAAACTCCCTCTTCTCCAGGGAAGCCACATCGCTGAAGAAGTCTCTGTCGAGGCAAGTTGGTGATGGCTTCTCTGGGTTGAATGCTAATCCAAGGCCATCAGAATACATCTTAGTTGGAATGTCCCACCCATCCCTCCTCTTTGGGGGAGTCTGCAGTTTCGGACACCCCCTCCCCCCCTGTCTAATCCTCCCAAAAGTCAAGACTGAGCCAAGAATTCCCTGCGATGTCTCCTTCCCAACTCACAGCACTGCAGCAAAAGGCAGCAGAGGGCGGGAGGTTCTTTTGGGGGCTTTTCTGTTCCAGCTGCTGCCATCCCTTAAGAGGCAAAGACCCCCCTCTCCCAAACAAGAGAGGGGCTGAGTCACTGGCCTACTTGGCAGGGGCTCCTTCCCAACACCTGGGAGGGGGGAGCTGGAAGAGTGAGCGGATTGCACTGAGAAACCCGCCAAATGACACATTCACAGGTGACGGCCTCCCCAAGCAGGCAGGCCCGGAGGGAGCAAGACCTTCACACTCAGAACATGAATGACTCACACCTGGGACAGGCGCCTCTCATGCCAGGTGGCAAGTGAAGCCACGGATCCCTTGGGCTGGTGCCAGGCCTTCCCGGCCAGCTGCAAAGCTTTCCTTCACCCGCAACCCCTCAGACAGGCCCTCCTGAGCCAGGCGGGCACCTTCTTTCATCCAGGCCCTTGCGAGCTACCATCCCTGGCCTCTATGGGAAGGCCCGGCCCCTCAAATCCCTCCCAGGATGGAGCCCCCCCTCAAAATGTAGCTTGTTAAAGGGCAAAGGGCCCTTGCTGGAGGCACCGTTTCACCCTCCCTTCTGAAAAGCGCCTTCCCCTGCTTGCCTCCTAACGCAGCCCCTGGATGGCCAGAAGCTGCAAGTCCGGCCGTCGCACCAGAGAGTCCCTTAGCAACTGGACTCCCTTTGTTCCTTTCTTGGAGACCTTTCGCTTCTCATCCAAGAAGCTTCTTCAGAATTGACGAGAAGCAAAACATCTTCAAGGAAAAAACCAAGAAAACCCAGTTGCCTTTTGAAAAGGACCTTTGGGGGAGCCCTGAGCTGGGTCACTGAGGATTTCCACAGACGTCCCTTAAGAACTTTATGGCCGATCCAGGCTGAGGTCCTTCCGCTGCAATTTTCCACTCACAGAGCAGTCACGCCTGCTTGCCAAACGGAGGCCCGGCTCCCCCAGCTCCAACCACTGCTTGGAGGTCCATTCCAAGAGAACATGGGCTGCTGGAGCCGGGAGAGAGAACAGCAGCCTCCTCCCTTGTCTCTGGCAGGGCTCTCACCTGTGTTGTATGCCGTGGGCATTGCCGAGAAGGGCAGCCCCTGGGTCAGCAGGCTGGGCGTGGCCACCGAAACAACCGGCGTGGTCAAAGAATGTGTGGCTTGAGACACCATGAGCCTTTGGGCGTTCTGCTGCGGGAGAGAAGGAGAGAGAGAAGGAATGGGACAGGGAGTCTGAAAGAGGAGGGCAGTGGGTCTTCAGTGATGGGGCTCTCGGACATTTGGCCCCCTGGGGAAGTGCATCAGAGCCTCACACCATGGAGAGCAAGGACAGCTAGCGGTCCTCGTGGCTGCTGGATGCCATTCCTCCCATTGTGCCATCTTGAGGATGGAGGTCTCTCCCCCCTCTCCCTCAGGCAGCCTGGGGGCCATGACTGAGCAAGCAGGGCCAGGGGCGGCCCAGGGACGGAGCAATAAATCTGGGCTCTCCGGAAGCTATTCAGCAGTGGGCCCAATGGGAGCAACCCCTTCACTGCAGGCAAAATGGAGCTGGGAACACCGTCAATTGTCCTCTGCAGTGCGAAGACCCCAGAGCCCTTGGGGGTCGTCTTGAACGGCTCAACCCTTTCCTGCCAATGGAGGCTCCGTGGTTCACCGTGGCCACACGTGGCTCAGGCGTGTGGCAAACTGCACCTTTCACAGTTTAAAACCCTCCTCCCCATGGTGCCTTGCCCATTCAGCCCCACAAGGCACCAACTCTGCCTGGGTAAGCAGGGAGAGGTCCAAGGCAACCGAGGAGGCATTCTTGCTTCAGGGTTTGTACTGGAGAAAATCCTGACTCTCATTTATCCCAATGGACACGCAATGCATATCGTTTATGCAGCCAGAAAATGTTACTGCTTTTCACCTCAATTTCTCCTCCTAACACTCCCAAGTGCAGACCTTCTTCCCTCCCTTTAGAAACCTCTGCAGGACGTTTCCATGTTCTCTAGGAAACAATACAGTGTGTGTGTGCGTGCGTGCGTGTGTGTGTGTGTGTAGGGGGGGAGCCCCAGGGTTAAGTGTGGACACTTCTCCCACTGTCAGCAATAGCCAATCCCATTCCAGGACCAATAGCACAGGGGGAACAGGGAGATGCCCCCCCCCAATGCCTTGAGCCTTCCTCCTTCCATCTCAAGAGATACCAGAGACCCCAAGGCCAGTGCCCCAGTGCTCGGGATGGGAGCCCTTCAGCAGTGTCCTTCATCTGGCACTCCAGCAGTCCCCAAAGCTAGAGGAGTCTGGACCCCAGAGCCGGGCTCGTGCCTTGTCTTCTTCTGCATTGGGTGCCAGGCACTATTTGGAGGGGGGAACTGGGTGTCGGAGTTCATGCCCAGATCCTGAAGGGACGGAACAGAGGCTCAGTGGGCTAACTGAGCTGTGCTAGTGAGAATACTCAGCCTGATGATCAGTGCTGGGGGAGCAGTGAAGAGAGGCAGCACCCAAAGGAAGGAGCCATGCCACAAGGGGGTGGGTGGGAGGTGAGGATTCAGACAAACACCTCTTTCTCCTCCTCACTAAGGAAGGGCAAGAGAGAGGGTGGCCTGTCAGTCTCAGGCCGAGAGATGCCAATCCTGGGGGGGTGGGGGGGGTGGGGGCAGAGAGAGACAGGCAATTTATGCAGTTGGCAAGCATGCACCCGCAGGAGGAAAACCACCGAGACCCCTCAGAAGGGGCCAGAAGCCAGTGCAGAAGCCCGTGTTTCCTCTAGGAGACCCCCAACATCCAACTCACCATTTTAGGACAGCGGTTGACAAAAAGCCCCTGTGTCTTTTGCATACACACACACGTACACAACACACACAAACACACACAGGCACACCCATGCATAGCTCACCAGATCCAACTGATCGTCCGTCTGAATGCAGAATAAAAACGAAAGCAAAGGAAACTTATTACATTTAATTCCTAATTCTGATATTGCTTCCCACATTCACTGAGAATCCTGTTTCATTCGTGGACCACAAAAGTCACTCCTGGGCTAATTCGTCTAATTTCTTTTTTAAGTGGGGAACTTCCAGGTGGAAAAAACCAATGTAGGAAATAGTCGCCTTAATTTTGGAATTGCCCGGCTGCACAAAAACGGCCCCCTTGAGGATGCTCTTATTAGCCCTTTGACAAAGCCCACAGGACAGGGGACCTTGGCAACTCTGAGACCTCCTCCTGTGGACTTAAACTCCCAGAATTCCCTAGCCAGCATTGCAAACGGATGCAATGTTGCAGATCAATGGCATTAACAGATTAAAACAATTTTGCTAGACTGAAGCGGGACAGACCAAAGCTTAAAGGTTTCTGCAATCTTTAAAACCAATAAGTAGAAAGCAGAATTTTGCCCGCCAAGAGGCTGTTCCCACAAAACGCGGAGGGAGGCGTCTTCTTTAGCCAGAGCCAGACGGCCTATTTGAGGGCAGCTGATCAAGAAGTGGGGTCAGACTGGACTGGAGCAAGCCCCTCCCCACTCCCCTTTCCCAAAGAGCCTCCTCCATTCACCAACAGCCTCCTCCAACGAGGCTCTTGGCCAGAAGACGATGCTTTGGGCCTTCACAAAGACGAGCTGAAGACTGGAAGGAATTCCAGGGTTCGGACCCCTCAAAGGCCGGACTTTCCAAGCTGGACTCACCAGGTGCTGCAGGAGGCCTTTCCCGCCCTGGGAGGTGATGACCCGGAGGTCCGGCTTGCGGATGTTGGTGGCCAGAGGGTTGCTGTGCTGGGGTGGCGGCGGGGGTGACTTCGCCGGGACGGCCTTTCCTAGACTGTTTCCATTGGAGACGGGGAGGAGATTCGGGGAGGCCCTGGCGCTGACGTAGCCGTTGCCTGCAGGAGAGGACAAAGCCATTCCAAGAGTTTGCAATGTTGGGAAACGTGTAGCTGTCCCTTCTCCACTGTGGCCAATGCAAATTATACGTTTCTGAAATAAGCCCAGCTTTTCCTGCTGGTTTCTGAAGGTCCACCCTGGAGCAGAGAGCAGCCACGGCTTTCGTTGAAACACCAGCTGTCCGGAAACAATTTGGACAGACCGACTGGGCAAGGACCACCAGCCCTAAACTGGGAAGTCAGTCTGAGCTGCCCCAGAACCAGAGCTCACCAGCCCCTTCCTCACTACGAGGCCAGGGTGCCAATGTGCCAGAGGCGGGCATTAGCCCACAAACTTCATAGCATGGCAGTTGGCAAGGGGCAAAGGGCACCTGCCATCTTCCCAGAGGTATCTGTGGGGCTCATTCTGCACCCTCTTGCCCTGGCATTCTTCCAGCCCCCAGGAAAGCCCCTCACAGGGCTTAGTACAGATGCCGGCTCTGCAGGCCTCCACCTCCCACAGCCGCTGCCTGGCTGCTGATAGCCTCGGCAGCTGTGCAGGTTCATCTGAGCCGAGACCAGAAGCCTAACTGCACCGTCACCCAGTTGGCTTTCAAGTGGCCGAGGAATCAGGGGAACTGCGGGCTCAGCAGTCCCTGGCACAAGCTGAAAGGCGAGTTTCTCGGCCATGGCAACTTTAAAATGGGCAGACGTCAACTCCATGCCGGCTGTGGAATTCTGGGAGTTTTAGTCCATCCATCACGGCCAGAGGGGAGAAACCTGCTTTAGAGTAATACAAACAGCAGAACTTTCCTAGGTGAAGTGGGAGAGAGATTGAGCCTTGCCTCGCACTGTGCCGAAGCACCACGACCAGAGAGAAGAGCCCAGAAAAAGAGGTCCCGAGTGGCCCTCCGGGTCTCGCGCAGGCCTGCCCAGGGCTCTCCCTGCTCCCGTTTCCTGGAACGAGGGGAATGTTTTCGTGACGTCAATGCTGACATTCAGGGGCCTTGCCAAGCTGCAAGCTGGAACAGCCGCTCACAACAGCTGACGTGGGGGCTGCTCTGGGAAATGGAGAGGAGCTGGGAGGGGGCCTGGGCTAAGACAGCAGCCTCTGCCCAGCTGACTACCTTCCCCGAAATCAGCAGGGCCTCCCTTCCTGGGACCCTGCGGCTCAGCTCACCCTCTGAGACCCCTCCTCTCCTCGGGAGAGCTTTGTGGCCAGGAAGATGCCGGCCAGAGCTCAGTGCCCCCCAGCTGCCTCTCTTAGAGCTTCCAAAGGCTGCCGCTCTCTGCCGCCCCCAGACCTTCTTTTGCCAGGGCAGCTTCAACTGCTTGGGCCTTTGCTGTGTTTCATTCTAAAGTTGAACTTTTTAGCATGTGAAGCATCTTAGAAAACAGCAAAGGCCCTTGTGGGCTGCTCTCAAGGAAGGTGTTGAATCTGGTTACAGAATTTTTCTGTGTTCCTCCAGGCATCAGCCGCCAAACAGCTAAGAGAGGGGTTTTTTGGGGGGAGGGGGGGCCAGGGCAGCCCCTCCTGCCGGAAGGATGGGAAATAGCGAAGAAAGGAGCTCATGAAGCCAGATGAGGCCAGCATTGTGCCCGTTGGCTCTAACTGGTCAGGGCATCACCAGGCCGAACAGCTTCTCTCTGCTCCCCCCCTTGCACAGTCCCCCATGCCCCAGAGAGGCTGGCTGAGTGCGTACTCGGCAAAGCAGAGCCGGCCAGGATGCTGCCTCTCCACCCACTGACACGCTGTAATTAAGGGCCGAGTCCTCCAAAAAGGGATCCGGCCTTATTTCGGAAGCCACCCAGAACGGCCGTCCTTTGAAGGAGGGTTCCAGGCTGGCTTTGAAACTGACAGGGAGAAATAAAGGAAATGCAGCCTCTGACTGAAACCCAGGCAGAAAAACTGGCTGGCCTGGACCCCTCCAGTTTTGGGCTCCACCCGAGGCCGGCTCCCCTCTCGGGCAGCTTCTGGGAAGGAGCCTGCAAGGGAGGCTTTTTTGCCGCTCAAAGCCAAAGGCGGCTTTTCTCTCCTGTAGGGCGTTTGGCCTCAGCCATTTTTATCTGCTGGCTGGCAGAAGGGGAAGCACCCTCAGGGGGCACAGAACAGCCCCCTCCCTTAGGATTTATGGGATTCGTTTCTCTAGAAGTGGGGGGGGGGGAGGCCCTCAGACACAAGGTGATGCACCTTCAAAGGTGGCCTCTTCTCTCGCTTGTTTTTGGAGGGGGTTATAAGACAGCCCCCCTTCATATCATATGTATGTATGTATAAAATTCTCAATGCACATTCAGACACAATATAAAGAATTCCGGCCAGTGGCAGAGGGAGCCCAATCTGGGATCGTCTGGCTCTCCCTCATGTGAAATTCCCTCCCCCCCTCGACTTGTTCCATTGGAGTCTCAACCGCCCCCTTCCTTCTTGGTCACCCCAAAAAGGCTTGAGGCCAGCTGCTCCTCCTGCATCTGTTCTGCCCTCAGCCGACTCTCTGGCTCAGCTGTCTAGCAGAAGGTTCCAAAACTGCAAAGGGAGTGTGGTGGTGGGGGGAAGTGGAGATGAAGGCTACGGGGGGGGCGGAGGGGGGGGGACTCAGAGCCTATTCCAAGTGCTTGGGCTTTCCCAGGCTGACCTCCCCAGAACCCTGAGCCCCCTCAGGCCAGCTACTCTGCTGCAGCTACTCACCCACGGGGCTCGGACAGGCTCCGTTCGTGTTGCCAAGCTCCCCTCCGAGCATCGCCCCTAGGAAGAAGCCAGCGGCCAAGGTCAGTTGCATCTGGAGCCACATTCGAACAGGACGGTCCCACCAGAGACACTTTGTTCCTCTGAGCACCCCCCTTTCCAATGGGGGGGGGAATCATGACAGAATGACCACCACCTCCCTTAAGCTAGGCTGTCCACATTCCCAAAATTGTGTCCGGAGCTGGGCATCCCATGGAGCATATCTACATGCGAAAATCGTATCTGGACACATCTGGATCACCTTTTAGATCAATCACCATGCATGAAAAAAATGGCCAGAATTGTAAAATGCCATTTACAGCCGTGGGCCACAGGACTAAATTTATGACACTTTTTGCCAAAAACCAGCATTTACTTCCAGCTTTTGGCCAAAAGCCCCCATAGTGAACAATGAATTCACTTAATGACACCAGCATTTGCTTAGTGAATTCCCTTAGTGACCTTAGTGGATTTGCTTAATGACCACCACAAAAAAGACAATAAAACTGCATTGGTCATGGGATGACCTGCTTGATGATCTTCACAGCTGACGATTGTACTGGGCAGGCTTCACTGCAGTCCTAAGTCGAGGACTCCCTGTGCTTCTGTTATCTATCCACCCAGACTACCTTGCCCCCGTTTGTCTGCTCTTGTTTCCCCAGCCCCGAGTTTGGGCCTGGCCCACTGACCTTCGCCAAACCTTTGCCTGAATGCATCAAGGCTCCTTCTATGGCTCCTGGCTCTCCCTCTCCTTTTCTGTTGGGTTTGCACAATTCCCTTTACGCTGCCTAAGGGGCCCCTGGGGAGAAGGAGGGAGAAGGCCGTACCTGCACTGGCCGGCCTCTGCGGGAGCGCCGGGGAGACGGTGTTGCGCTGGAGGGCCGGCTGCTGCGGGGACAGCAATCGGGGGTCAGTCAAGGAGGAAGTCACTAACGATGGGGTCACTAGGGATCCCCCGGGGCTGCTGAAGGGCAGGGCGTTCTGGTTGGTCACGGGCACCGTCACAGGCATGGCAAAGTTGGGAGCAGGAACGGAGGACTGGAGAGAAAAGGGGCAGGAAAGCAGGCTGAGCCCTGGGAGCCGAGGGGAAAGGCTCCTCTGCCACCAGCACCTGGCAGGATCAGCCACTCAGCAACAAGAGGCTGCCGGAGACTTTGGATTCCAAGGAATCGCGGCAGCCAAAGGCCCACAGAGATGGCCTGAACCAGGAATGTTGGGATGCGAACAAAATCTCTGACAAATTCAGTTCTCAGACAACCTTCATCCAGCACAATTCTCCCGCTTGGCAGATCCAAAGCTGGTGGAGCAACTCTGGATGTTCATCCCTTAGACCAGGCAGGACGGAGGGCATGAAACTCATCAGTGAGCAAAAATAATCCCGAAAGTCAAAGACAGAAATGGAGGAAGAGAGAGGTTGGCTTCACAGCAGGCACGTAAGAAGGAGTTAGCAACCTGAGCCTGACACAAACTGGGCAAGAACAAAGGGAACAACCACTCAACTCCACACCCCGCAGGGTCAGGAGCCGCTCTCCAGAGAGAGAGATTTTGGGCCCTGGCAAAGGGAGAAGCAAGCAGGACAGTTGGGATGAGGCTGGATGAATGAACTAATTTCACTCTTCCATTCCAGAGGAGTGAAAGAGTTGGGCATTTTAATCAGAGAGGACACACAAGAGTCGCAGGGCAAGAAATGAAACCACGTTCTTCTTTGCTGGCAGTTGGAGAACATCTAGGAGGGGCTGCCTTAGGGGTGGGGAGGACTTTTTGCAGGAATGCTGTTAAGTGCCGGATTCATCCAGCAGGAAGGTGGCCTAGCCGCCCTCTGAGGTCCCTGCATGGGTGCTTGGTGGGGAAAACTTTGCTGAAGAGATGGCCGTGAAACTCTGGCCAAGACGCCAAGGCCCTGGGGCTTCTGGGGCTTCTGGGGTGCCCATCCACTCCAAGGAAGGGTAACTAGCAGGTGCCTTGTCTTTTTGATGCCAACTGAGAATATTCAGTCCTTCGCCATGGTTTAAATCACTACAAGAATCTGGTGGCTTTCATTCCTCTATTTACTGGACGGCCACAGCTCTTTCCCTGTGCTGCGTCTGAAGTTTTCAGAGGTTGCTGCTGTTGTGGCAAAGTGGGGAAATCCTTGACGTTGGTGCGCATATGAGTGTGCAAAGCCCTGGAGGATGCTCAGAGCAGCCTGCCACACAGCAGCTGCCTTTCCAGAGGCTGCAGCCTCCTCTGCTCGGTGTGTGTGTCCTTTCCCACAGGTAAGGACGGATCTTGGTTGGAAGCTGCTCGGTCAGAAGGGCCCCCTGGCACTGCCTGACCGCTCTGTAATGGCGAAGTCTGCGGGAAGTGACCTCTCTGGAATCGAATCAGAGCGGAGTTGCTTTCTCCCCATACCGGTCTCAGCAGAAAGCCTGGGCCCCATTGCCTTGCCCACCCCGTTGCCTTGGGACCGTGGACATGCCACTTGCTTTGGGGAAGAGTCTGGGGTCTGCTGCCACCTCTGCTTTCCCCCTTCTCTGTTTCTTCTGCCTTCAGCCGCCCCAGCCTCCTCTTGGCCTCATGAACAGACTGGACCTTGTGGGGCAGGAAGAGAAGAAGATCTGCCAGGAGCTGCAGCTCTGGGGGATGACACCGAAGCTCTGGCCGGGCACAGCTCGGGTTACTAGCTAGTTAGGCAGAGGGTTAGGTGGGGGTTAATTCTCTCAGGAAGCTCATGCACTCCCCCCCTCCTCCCAAACCGCCTCCACCCCCTTCAGACCTGTGACTCTGACTCAGTATTGTCATCCCTGGAGCCAGTTCAGGGGCCGCATTCTCCTGTCAGCCCCTCAGGAGTGGAGCCCAGACAAGGCAGCCCCCTGCATGTCCCCGTCAAGGGTGACCCCGGCTGCGTCCTCTCAAGCCATTTTCAGGCCACACCACCCTCAGAGGCTCTGGGGGCAAAACAGGCCCCAGCCGCCCTTGGGTCTCCTGCCCACCAGAAGCAAAGTCGGCCTGTTTCACAGCTGATCTCCTGCTGCTGTTTTTGCACCGAGACCCTCAAACCAAAGAGAGTTGAAAGGAGAGAGAAAGGCTGGTGGAGAGCGTTGTTCTTATAGGATGGATTTTTTTTTTTACATTTTGTAAAAAATGTGCCGTCACCTATGTGAGAGTTGGGCGGTTATATACATTTGTTTAATAAATAAATGCTAAATAAATAAAGCCAGTCTGGCCTGATGCCCAGAGGGAGGGGGGCAGACTCTCTCCTCTTTCTCTCTTGGGGGGAACCTGTGTCAGAAAGCACGGAGGGCAGGACGGTCTCCTCTGAACCTGCATCTCCCTGGCAGAGCCCCTTCCTTCTTGATCTCCTCAGGGGACCAAGCCCCTGCCCGCTCCCCTTTGCTCCCCCAGGCATATGGGAGGGTCTTGGCCAGGCAAGCAGATGTCAGGGAAGGGCGTCCACACGCGTGTTAATGTCTGGAGGACGTGCAGGGCTGCACAATGTGCAGGGCACACGGTTTGGCAGCTGCCCTTGCCATGCGGAGGGGAGCGAGTGGGCTGCCCCCCGTTACTCACTGTGAGCCTGTAAGTCTGCATCATTTTATCAAACTCCTCATCAATCTTTCTATACTTTTCTTCAGTCTGGGGTGTCAGGGTAAAGATGTCCTCCCCGTCGGGGCTCTCACCCTCTCTATGCTTCTTGTTCAGCGCCTGTCCGGCCAGTGTGGAAGGGAGGTCGGGGGGGGGGGGGGGGAGGGGAAGGTCGAATCCAACAAACAGACGAGAACGAGAGAGAAGAGAGAGAGAGAGATGGTGAGGGGTTTCTGGCCGGCTGGGGGCAGCTACTTACGCCGTAGCGCTTGAAGAAGTTGTCCAGGTCCTCGCTGGCTTTGCGGTACTTGTCCTCCGTCAGAGGGCTCTGGTCAATGGAGTCTTCCCCGTCGGGTTCGGGACTCTCGCAACCATTAAAGCCTTTCTTTCTTAAGGTCTGAAAGCACAACCGGGAGACGTTCAGGTGGGGCCTCGGCTGAGCGGTTGGCACCTGGGAAGGGACGGGAGTCCAGGTGCTCAAGCGGAGGAGACCCCCTCCTCTGGCCCCCCTGCCGTTCCTGGTCCCACTTGTGCACCTGCTGGGTCAGTGTGGACCTCGGGCCAGGCCAGGGCTGATCTGTGGTCACTGGAGAGCCCAGGGCCAGCAGGAGGTGGCTCTGCTTCCTGGAGACAATGGCACGTTGAATTATAACAGAACCCCAGAACTCGATTCCAGGGAATAAAACAAACTGGACAGAGATCCCCTGGATCTGAAGGAATTTGAGAACCTGCTTGGCGGCTCGTCCGCGTCCCCCTCGCTCGAGGCCCATCGCTTCCCAGGCAGAAGAGAAGCGGCTGCACACTTCCCATGCCTGTCACGAGAACATCAAACGCCATGTTTACCAAGTATTTATTCCAGGCATGGCAGCTGATTTGAAGGCTGCCTTCCGCTGCCACACTTAATCATTGTGTTTTCAAAACACCAGAAGCAATTAGACCCCATTACGGAGCCCCCACTTGCCAATGCTTTTTGCAAGTCAAGTTGCAGCAAGCTAGTGGGGAAGCCTTGATCTCTTGTTGGGCTAATGAGAAATGGAAAGGGGTCTCTGTGTGTGCTTGGGCGTGTGTGAGAGAGGGAGGGGGCGGGGGAGGGAGAGAGATGCCCTGAACAGTAGAGGGAAAAGACCCAGGCACAGAAATAAGGCTAACAGACATGGATTCCCAGAGGAAACGGGGTCATGAACACTCCGGACTTTTTTTCCAATGTAGACCTATGTACTGTGAGTGACCATTATTAATTCATGGAATTATAATTTTAGAAAGAAGAGGAAGCTGACTTTGGGTGAGAAAGAGCCAGAATCCCATAGCGCCAAACTTTACCCTGAGCTATCGAGGCGAGAGGAGGCGGCCGGCACGTATCCCGGCTATGATTCAGGCACCAGGCAAGGCTTAGAGCAGCTGTCCTCTTCCCTCCCCCCTCCTGGAAGGGCAGCTCAGCCCCTTCCCCCACATGCCCTTTCCAGCAGCCCAGGAAGTGGGGCGCCCTCTCCTGGGGCTGCCCCAAAGGCCAGCTTCTGCCCTTGGAAGAGGAAGAGGAAGAGGAAGTGGTTCTGGAGCCCAGAAGGACCAGGGAGAGGCGGGGGGGGCACCTTCCCACAGCCACCATAAAGGGGATGGAGTGGAGCACCTCTTCATGGCATTTAAATTTAATGAATAAAAGAACAAACAAACAAACAAAATAAAAATAAGACTCCTCCTCATAACCAGCCTGGCAACTGCGCTGAAAAACCAGCACGAAACACAGAAGGCAGCAACTCGACCGCCAGCCACATCTGGCTTCCCAGCCTTCCATCTGGGCTCCGCCACTGTAGCCATCATGGGATGTGGCTCTTCTCAGAGTGGCCCAGATGTGGCCCACGTAGGGTGCAGCTGTGCAGCCCCTGCTGACCTCAGCTGCAACTTGCAAGGACGATCCTGCAATCCTGTCCTTTACAAATGTGGGGGGGGGGGGGGAAAGAACAAAAAACCGGGGGGGAACCTCCCTCTTGGGGGGGTGGCTGGGGTTGTAAGCAGCAAAGAAGCATCCACTCCCCAAATTCAGGAAAGACCCCAAAGGCCTGAATTCAGATGGTGGGGGGAGCAAGAGCCAGCCAAAGAGCTCAGGAAGGAGGGGAAGGCAAGCAAAAGGGGAAAAAACGCAGCAGCAGCAGCAAAGCCTCACCAGCATTATAAATGGCCACCAACCGCAAGGGTTTTGCTGAGACCTACTTCTCTGAGCCCCCGCCCCCACACTGGGCCACCCATCTCAGTCAGAAAGTTTGTGCCAAGGAAGATGGGGGGAGGGGAATGCAGTAGTGCAGTAAACACGATTCCTCCTCCATCCCCCTTCTGCTTCTTGTTGCCATTGGATTCCGCCCCCCCAAAGAAAATTGGGCCAAGCACTGTTTTTCTGTAGCCCTTCGCTGCCCCGCACCCCCCACCCCCGGCACACAAGCAGGGCCCTTTGTGCCAGGATCTGAGGGCGGACGAGAGCCACGGCTGGCGTGCATGCCCGAGACCTGGGGAAGTGGCTCAGGTGATCTTGAGGAGGGGGACCGCAGACCCGTGCCATGTGAAGCCGGGGGGTGTGCGCTAAGACTTGGGAGAGCAGGGGGGAAGCTCACATAGACTGGGGCTAGAAGTGTGGGTGGAAACACACAGAATGGAATTTAACAGGGAGAAAATGAAAGCTGTGCAGCCGGGCAAGAAAAAGGAAAGAAACATCTACAGGATGGGGAAAGTCTGGCTCAAGGGCAGCACATGGGAGGAGGGCTGGGGGGCACCAGTCTCACATACCCAACTGAATGCACACATTTCAGGCAGGAAGCCCAGAGTTCACCACTCAGCTCTGGATCCACAGTACCCACCGATTTGGGGACCGTTGTGCCAGCCAAAATGACCCAGCTCTCCTTTACGTCCCCAACTTAACTGTCATGTTAAGCAAGAAAATGTTCAAAGTTGTTCAAAATGTTCAAGGTTGTTCAAGAAATTTGGAAGAAAAATGCTCCCAAGGATAGGGTGGCATTTCCATTTGGATTCGGAAAGGGATGAAGTTCTCACTTAAGTGACACCTTCTGTATGGAGACGGCCCTTCTGGAAGGCAGGGATGATGAAGTCAGTAAGTAGGGGGGCAGGGACAGACAGACAGACACACACGCACGCACGCAGACGGAGCAGCGAGGACCCCAGGGAAGGCAGCCCTATCTAGGACAGCCCTAATCCTTCATTCAGATTAGTTGATTTCCTGGCCACAGGGCGTCCGCCTTACCTGGATTAACCCATTTTGCTTCTCCTCTGCCCCAAGTGACTTCCCTGGCACCTTTGCGCCAACTGCCAAACAAGATCTGGAGAGAAGCCGGGGGCTGTGGAGGGGAGAGCCAAGGTGGGGGCTTTTCAGTGAGAGGAGCTTATCTTAGCAGTTCCACGACACTTTTCATGTGTCCTCAATGGCAGACAACCATACCATCTGGAAACACTGCTTCGCCCAACATGGTGCTTGATAGGAAAGGAGGGGAGGCAATCCTCGTTTGCTTGCCACAGCCTTTGGGCTACCTGGGACTGGTGGGTCAGGCAGGTGGCTGGACGCAGCCGGGGATTCTCCTGGGTGGGCTGGGGGAAGCTCATGCCAGAAGGCCCTTTGCTCAGCCACTACGGCCATCCCCGGGCACAGAGTCCCTGCACCTTCCTCACTTCCCCAAAGAATTACAGTGAAGGGCCAATTGGGGAGCCACCAACGGAGCCGGGCACAAGGGGAGAAGCTCAGGCCCATCCCACATGTAATCTCACTCGCCTAGACCCCAGCAAAGATCAGGCCCCCCCCCAAAAGCCTCACGCTCCCTGGCTGGCAGGGGCTTCAGCAGCCCTGCAGGAGACCTGGTGGGGAGGCCTGGAAAGTGATGGGTGGCCTGGGGCAGAAAAGGGAGAAGCCAAGTCAGTCTCCCCCCCAACCCCTCCCCCCCTGCCCCCCCTACCGGCCCTGCTAGCCTCACAGACTTTGAAACACAGTCAACAAAGGCTGGATGTTCCTAAACAGCTCAAGTGTTGATCCCCAAATGGAATATGACTCTCAAATTCTAGACCTCTTTATATTTTATTCAACTTACAGTGACTGTGTGTGTGTGTGTGCATGCGTGCATGCACGTACATGTGAGTGAGAGAGTGCAAGTGTGCACCTGGCACAAAATCCCCACCCCCTCCCTGCAGAGTGATTCCTCCCCCTCCCCCTTCCTATTCTCTCCCATCTTGAGCAGATAAATTGAATGACTAAAGGTTTTGTGTGCCTTAATTTCTGCTCACTTGTAATGTCAATAATTACCCAGCCAAACCATTCATTTGTCTAGATCCTGCCAAGCACAGAGAGAGCCACCCACGGGCACATTTTCATTGAAAGGTGACAAAGAAATGGCAGCAGCGGCGTCTCCCTCTTTGGGAAACAGAGGGGGTCGGACGGAGGGGTTGGTCTTCAGAACGCCCCAGAGGCCACCTTGTCACGCTCCGTCCTAGGGCTCTTCTGACTGACCTCCGGTCTCGAGCCAGTTCTCCTGAGCATGCAGGAGTCACACTCTGCGTAGCCACAGTGGTGGCCCTAAGCTGTCCGTGATCCCAGGCCCCGGAAAGACTCACACCACATTGGAGCAGCTGCTTAAAGTTGTCCCCTTTGGGGCAGCCACGTCACAGGCTGAATGGAGCCACTTCAAGGTAGTGCAGATTTATTTGTTTGTTTGTTTGTTCAACTTGTATGCCGCCTTTCTCCGAAGACTCAAGGTGGCTTACAATGCATTTAAAAACCATATATAAAAACATTAGAAATTAAAACATTAAAAACATTAAAACCCATTCACACCATTCATGGCCGGATCTTGCCAGATCGCAAGAGCGAGATCAACGGCCCCAGGCCTGCCGGAAGAGCCAGGTCTTCACCGCTTTCCGGAAGGCCAATAGGGTGGGGATGGTCTGGATCTCAGGAGGTAACTGGTTGCAGAGAGCTGGGGCAGCCACAGAGAAGGCCCTCCCCTGCGGGCCCGCCAGCCAGCATTGTTTAGCTGACGGGACCCGGAGGAGACCAACTCTGTGGGATCTTACCGGTCGTTGGGAGCTATGCGGTCTCGAAGATAGCCTGGCCCTGAGCCATGTAGGGCTTTAAAGGTAATAACCAACACCTTGAATTGTGACCGGAGACCAATAGGGAGCCAGTGCAGCTCGCGGAGAATTGGTGTAATGTGGGTGTACCTAGGTGCACCCACGACAGCTCGCGCGGCTGCGTTCTGGACCAACTGTAGTCTCCGAACACTTTTCAAGGGTAGCCCCATGTAGAGTGCATTGCAATAATCTAACCGTGAGGTGACAAGGGCATGAGTGACTGTGAGGAGAGCCTCCCGATCCAAGTAGGGTTGCAACTGGTGCACCAGGCAAACCTGTGCAAAGGCCCCCCTAGCCACAGCTGACAGATGTTGCTCTAATCTTAGCTGTGAGTCTAGGAGGACACCCAAATTGCGAGCCCGTTCTGAGGGGGACGATTTCTCCCCCCCCAGAACCAAGGATGGACAGTTGACATAGACTTTAGGAGGCAATACCCACAGCCACTCGGTCTTGTCTGGGTTAAGTCTGAGCCTGTTGACTCCCATCCAGACCCTCATGGCCTCCAGGCACAGGCACATCACATCCACCGCCTCACTGAATTGACGCGGGGTAGAGATATACAACTGGGTATCATCCGCGTATTGCTGATACCTCACACGGTATCGTTTGATGATCTCACCCAGCGGCTTCATGTAGACGTTAAATAGGAGGAGAGAGAGGACCGAGCCCTGAGGCACCCCACAAACGAGGGGCCTAGGGATCGACCTCTGTCCTCCTACCAATACCGACTGTGATCGACCAGAGAGATAGGAGGAGAACCACCGTAACACGGTGCCTCCCACTCCCAACTCCCTTAGATGATGAGGGTTTGCTCATTTTCTGTGGCTTAGGATATGGGGCATCCCCTATACCATTTGGTTACGATACGGGGCACCCCCGGCCCATTGGCCCCCAGCTCAATGGCCATGGAGCAAGGCTAAAATTCTCTCCAAATTCTCCCCAGAGCCCCACTGAGCTAAGCCAGGCTCTCCAGCCAGCCTCTGGCACGGTAAGCTAAGGAGTGGAGCCCTTCCCAGGCAAGGATGGGGCACCGTACCTCAATGATGTCTGCGTTGGTCCGGCTCTCGTGGGGCTCGTTGTACTCGGTGTATTTCAGCAGCACCTTGTCCATGTCTGTGCTGGCGTATTGGAAGAGCTTGTTGGAGTGGTTGAAGATGATGAGGGCGATCTCGCAGTCGCACAGGACGCTCAGCTCGTAGGCCTTCTTCATCAGCCCAAACTTCCGCTTGGTGAACGTCACCTGCAGCAGAGAGCAGCCGGCCTCAGCGGGAGAGGGGAGCCCAGAGGACGCACCCCACATTGGAAACGGTCCGGATTCCCCTCTCTGGGTTCGGGAGCCAGAATTGGGAGCAAACCTAGGAAGTGGAGCTCAGTTTTCTGTCTTGGCCCTGACACCCCTTTCTTTCTCCTCTGTCCTCTCAAGATGGAGGCTGCCTCGGAGTGAGTGCAGAGGCCAGTTCCCTAGGGCCTGTGTTATGCATGACTTATACTCCCTCAACTGAGGGACCTTAGTGCAACAGCCACACAAGCTCCCTTCTTGTACAACACTGAGGTTTGTTGGTGAAGCCTCATACGAAAGGAACTTGACTGCGTCTTATATCAAAATCAGAGAGATTCTCTCTCCAGAAACGAAGCAAGCAGGAAAAGCTGAAACTCTGATGAGGGCAGAAGCTTCATGGCTCCCTCAGCCTTCCCCCCCCGCCCCCGCTGCTGGACGATGCCCCCCATACAGATTTCAGCCCCCCCCCCCAAAGCCCTGGGTGGGATAGCTCTGGGCTAGCCCTTAGGGGAACCCTCACTGAGGCAGGCCTTAGTTGGCAAGAGGGAAGCTGTTTGATAATAAAGAAATAAAATACGGAGCGTCTCTGACCCCGTCAGCCCAACTTCTTATCTGCAAATGAAAGAGCAAGCAAGGAGCAGATTCTGGAGGACTGCACTAGAAAACTTCAGCTGAGGTTCCCAAACTCTATCTTTCCCTGCTTTTTTAAAAAGTGCTTTTGTTCCTTTGTGCTGTGGATAAACTGACTAATTTCCCTCCTCTGGGCAAGTGGGCAATGGGGAAAGAAGCTCTAACATTTAAAGACTCCTGCTTTAAGGTGGGATATACAATCCCCCCCTCCTCTCCAGAAGGAAACTGCTGTGGTTCCTGGCCCTTGAGGGAAGGCATCAAAGTGTCCAAAAAAGGCTTTAGAATCCAAACCAAAGAATTACAAGACTCTTGGGGGGGGGGGGGGGGGCAGAGCTGCTGGCTCATCACCACTATCTGCCCCATCGAAGCGCCACATATCTGGGTCTCAAATCTGCTCTCCCAGGGAATATCTGGGCTGACCCACATTAGCTCTGCCTCCAGTTTAGATTCAGTGGTTGCTTCTCTTCCAGGGGACACAAATCTGGGATGCTAACAGTAACCTAATATGGGACAATGATTCCACAACCTGGGGTGCTTTCTTGGCAAAATGAGGGGGGTGGGGAACGAAATAAATTCTATAACCATCCCCTTGTACTGTAGAATCAACCCTTCCTTCGGGAGACAGGACACTCTCATAGGAGGTGAATAAAATCTTTTTTTTTTAGCTTTAAGTGACATCCCAAACATTTAGTGGTAAAGGAGATAAAAATGAAAATGTGTTCAAATATAATCACTTAAAAGGATCTGGCAGGAAAAAAGGTATTTAATTATGAGGAAACAAGGCAGATTATAAAATGATGCTGGCCTCTGTCATCAAGAGATCCAAGTTGCATAAAATATACAATTACTGAACTTGTACAAAGAGAATACAGAAGTCCTAAAAAAAGTTCCCTCTGTCTCAACTAATCCTGGGCTTTTCCTCCAGATCTCTGGAGATTTCTGGCAATTAATTCTGAGGCTTCTGGAGACATGGAATAAACCCCATTTCTCTTCCCAGTCTTGTTCCAAGCTTCTGCCCTCGTTTTTAAAAAAGCAAAAGCATTTTCTCCTTAGCATAAATGGGGGGCTTTGGGATCAGCCCAGCCCACATGATCTCAACCAATTTGATCTCTCCTGCCAGTGATCCAACCCTGATGGCTGCAGTTCCCTCGTGCCTTCCTCCTTCCTCCCAGCAGCCTTCCTTGGTTCTTGATCTGGCTCTATGGAGGCCTCCTAATCCATCCGAGGAGGCACCCACTTTCTGAAAGGCCAGGAGGCGAGAGTTGGCTCCCCAGCTGCAAGGGAGGGGAGGGCCAGGCGGCCTTGGAGCAGAGTGGCGGGAGGGAGACAGGACTGGTCCCCCTTCTGTGTCTTTGCAGAGGCTGCAAAGTGGTTAATAAGATTGAGTCCTAATCGCCTTTCATCCACCGGAATGCTGAAGGACACCCCCCCCTGTGCCTCCCCGCCACCCCCCCACCGAGGAAGAGGGATCAGCTTGGGTCTTCCTCTGCTGGGCAGTCACGTGGCCAGGCTCTGTGGTGGCAGCAGCGGTGGGCAAGAGCCCTGGGAGTTCAGCGACAGGCAGCCGCTTCCCTTCTCCGACCTGCCATCCCAGGGTAAGGCTGCTGAGCAAGGGCAGGATTACGCTGACTTCCCAAAAGCTGGGCAGGGAATTGGGGGACGGGGGAGAGGAAGCCGGAAGGGCCAGATCCTTGGCAAAGCCAAGCAACCCAATGCCCACCCCAGCTGGAGCCCAGCTTTCCTAGCAGTGGTTACAATAGGAGCAGCCTCTGCTGACTCTGACCCTCAAATACCGTCTCCTCAAGCCAGGAAGCCTCGCCCTGCTTTGCGTCCTGGGCAGCCTCTTTGTGTGCCCTGAAGCTACAAGGATTTTGTGGAAAAGGAGGTGCCCTCCCCCCAGGAAATGCCAGATGCCCAATTGCCAGGAAGCAGCCTTCTCATCTGGATGAAGCCTTCCGACTCCCAATACCTTCGTTCCCGGATCCGGGGGGGGGAAGCATAAGTGCCAGGAGGGCCCATGCCTCTCCAGGATGCCCCACACGGCCCTTCCCTCAGCTGCCCATGGCACTCTCCTCTGGCTTCAGTCTCTGGAAGGGGAGAACAGGCCCTTGCTCAGCCCCACCAGCCCAGCTGGGGCTCCTCTAGGTGCTGGGAGTAGCACAGGAGAGAAGCCAGCCCATCACCCCTTCCCTCCCAAGCATGGCTGGCCCTCAGGGGCCCAGTTGCAGGGGGGTGGGCGCAGGACAAGGAGACCCCTACCCAGAAAATCCAGAGGGGGTTGCTCTCCACATGAGAGGACCCCTCTTTCATCGCAAGACCTGGGCTTGCAAAGGAACCAAGCCTTTGGGACAGATTGTTTCTGTTCACTCCCCATGGATTTAAAAATGTCACATTAAAGTTACATTTCAAAATCTGAGAGTGACCCATCTGGCTGTCGTCTCCCCCGGGGGGGGGGGGGGGGGGTGGAGGTGTCTGCAGCTGAGGAGAGGAATTGGCCTTCCCTTCAGGTGAGACTCCCCTCCCCTCGCCCGTCCCGGGTCTCTTTCAGCTGCGGAGGCTCTTGGCCCATTCGCTCTCTCCTGCAGGAGGCCCCATAAACCTGTCACCCCCAAGGACAGTCCTCTGGCCCCGTCTTCCGAGGGAGGCAGCCATGCCTGCCGCCAGCTTCCCTTGGCTGCTCACTGGGACAAGATTTGTACCTGCCATGGGTCGGTGGGTCTCGTACGACCAGCCTTACGGCACAAGGCCATGCCTGGACGGAGGGACGTGGTGATGCCCTTGGGACTCTTTCAGCCCAGAGCCTCTCTTGGGTTGAAGGGGGGAGATGCTGCCATGGCTCCACGGCCTTGAAACGGCCGCACGACTGGCTCTTTATTTTAAAAGGAGGATCATTCCTCTCTTCGGCTCCTTCTCTGCCCCCAAGTAGACTTTGGCCAAATGACGGGAGGAGGAAGAGCTGCCTGACGCTGGCTTTGGACACGGTCGGACTCAGGGACAACTGGAGGCTTCATCCGGCACGCATTTGCAGCAACACAGGGAGTTCTGGCTCCCCCCAAATCAGCTCCTGTACTTTTCAGAGCCTTCCTTTAAGATCAGGTTGTGAGGCCCTTTGAGACTCCTTGAATGGTTCTCATCAAGAGAAGGGCTTCTGCAGGCCCCTCTCAACGGGGGCCTCCTCCGTGGCTTTGCCATTTTAACATTTTCATGGCTTGGTTAAAGCTACTCAGAGCCATTTGCAACTGAACTACTAACAAACCACCGTAAACAAATAAATAATAAACAAATGTGTGTACAGATGCCATGAAAGAAAAAACCACAAACATAATGTGGAGGCACAGATGTTTGTAGCAAGATTTTTTTCATCCGGTTCTCTCCCCTCCCCCATTGCCTGGGAACCCAGCAGCACGAGAGCCAAAAAGGCCGGGCAAAGGAGGCGAAGGGGCAGAGTGGGCCAGGCACCCTGGGAGGCCCCAAGGGGTAGTGCCTGTTCCTGCAGGACTGAACCCACGAGATAAAACCTCCTCTAAAGCAGCTGCTGGCGGAAGGCATAAAAACCACACGGCATCCCTCTTTGAATCAGCCTGTGTCTGCCTATGTGCAGAGTTTGCAGCACTCAAAGCACTTCATGTGCAGGCCTGGCCGAAAACCTGAAAGGCTGGCATGCACCAGGCACCAACCACCCCACGCTGCAGATGTGGTGGCAATGGGGCAGGGACAGAAGGGATCGGCTTCAAGTGAGGCCTCCCTGGGACGTCTTGCGAGGGGAAATCTGAAGAAGGGGGCAGAGGTGATGCATCAGGAAGAAAATTCCGCTTCCACCCGTTTCTTCCTCCCTCCAGTCCCTGCACCATCTCTTGTACACTTTCCCCATATTTGAACGAATTTTCCCCGCTGTGAAAAGCCCTGGCACCCACTTCAGGGCCTCGCCATGCCAGCAGGAAGGAAGGCAGGCAGCGCCTCTAGTCAGCTGCACCAGCCAGAAGCCCATCTTCCCCTATGGACAGCCGCACAAACCAAGACCCCAGGCCTATGGGGAGGCTCCCAAACTCCTCCAAACATTGGCAACAATAAACTCCTTTAGAGCGTGACAGAAGAAAGCAATCGCCCATCCTCGGGGGCTCATCAGACCCCGAATGCTGCTGGGCCCCAGGAAAGTTGCATCTCTGTAGCATCAGCAAACTACCAGCAGCCTGCCTGGTCAAAAATTCACAGCAAAAACTGGGCGGGGGGCGGGGGGGTTTCTGTAACTGTGAGAAGGACAATCACTTAAATATGAGCCAGCCGTGTGCTGCTGCAGCCAAAAAAGCTAACATAATCCTTGGTTGTATATA